TTCTATTTCCCCCCCCCCCCCCCCCCCCCCCGAAACGATGAAGAAAATTAACTAGGTCAGCTGGAAAACAAGAGAAGAAACACCATAACTCTTGATAGACACTTGATAGCATACATGTGGATTTAATGTTTCGTTCCATATGAATATGGAGTGAAAAGCTTTTGTATAATACCTACGTGGGAAGGAAAAAAACTAGATTTTTCGACAGTTCATCTGTCGACAGTTGTTGCTAAACTATCGTTCTTGACAGTTAGCCTCAGTAATTCTGGATAGATGAACTTGTCGATAGATAAAATGTCGGGAACGACAGTTCAGTCCTTACCTCAACTTAGTGTGTTTCACATTAATTTCGATCTTACATAAGTAAGTTCGTAAAGGGTGACTTGAAGTAATATGGGTGATACACGTTGTATATATTTGGTGGAAATCTTGATAGACACTTGATATATCTTTCGTTTCAATGTTTATGTTACATATGTCATAACCTTGCTTTCACTTGCAATCCACTTGTTGTGTGTAGTACTCGTTGTATTCGGGTAGAACTCTTGATAGACATTTCACAGCATACTTGTGGTTTTTAGTACATATACGGATAGAAATATTATATTACGGTATGATGCGTTCATTTCTCGTTTTGTCTTTGCAGACATGGTTTCAAGCCTCTTGTTCCGAAGACAGTGACAATGAGGAAGCTTGTGTTAGTTCGGGGGATGGTGACGATGATGAAGTTCCCTACCCTGGGGCGGGAAACATTGAGCGGGACTCAATTGCTTCCGCTAGCGGCATGGCAAAGGGGGACGGTAAGTTTCTTATGGGAAAATTTTGATCTGATTGGTCACGGTTAGTAGTACAAGTTTTGATTAAATGTTTAGGGTCCTCTGCAAAATTTTGTAGGTGGTGCGAGTGAAATACCGATGGAGGCCATCACAGTTGTGCCCATGGATAAGCCACCTATCGTAAAGATGATGTGATCTGCACACCTACAACGTCTTGTATAGTCTACTGGGACTCCGTACACAAGGGAGACTGCAAAGAGAGGGAAAAAATAAGTGAGCAATTCTTTTTTGTTTTGACAACTTTGATAGTACAATTGCATTCGAAAACTTAAATGCCATGAAATTTGGAACCTGATATATGATTGCACTTATTGAGCTCATACTAGATACAATAAAACTCTACTCCGATACAGTTTATAATGCAAATGTATTGAATCATAAACTCTACACACCTTTCTGAAATTCTATCAAACGTTTTGTTATTTTGTGAGGTGATTGATAAAGATAGCATGGACCTGAACGGTATTGTATTTTTTCACCTTGCTTTCTACGTGCTTTGTCTCGAAATATTCATTTTACTGATGCATATGTACAAATTAGGGCTGTAAATATATCGGATCTGATCCGATCCGTTTAGAAATATTATCCTATCCGATAATCCAACGAATATTTGATTTTTAAATCCATTTTTGATTTGCTATGTTATTGGATATCTGATCCGAATTTTAAAAAAAAATATTTTTTTCACCATTTTTTCGGGTAATATGATTTTTTTCCAAAAAATATTTTAACTATCTTGATGGGCTCACCTATTATACTAAAAGGCCCAAATCAATTTTTTATCCAAGTGATGCTTCTTTAGTTCCTTGTTTAAATGAGACTTTTCTTGGAATATTTTAGTAATCTTCCAATGTGAGATACTAACTTTTTAAAGGATGCTCATTTTCCAACATTTTAGTAATATTTCAATGTGGGATATTAGTCAATTGTCAACTCTAAGTGTTAAAATAAACTTCAACAATATTATAATCACAAATAATATCAATTTAAACAATGTAAATTATTTTTGGACATATTAATTATTAGTTTTTGATGTTATAAAATAAACTACTATAGTTATTTTTATTTTATTTTAATTAATAAAAAATTAAATCTCTTTGAATATTTCAATTAACAATATTATACTATTATCTAATATTATTTATTATTTGAAAATTATGTGTAAAGCATAATATAATTTTCAAAATGGAAAAAATTATGTTTATTAGATTATAATATAATATATAAAATATATTATATTATTATAATAAATCGGATTGGATTGTTATCGGATTGGATCGACCTATATCCATATTTGCTCTATTTAGTTAACGGATTATCGGATTTGGATCTTAATCGAATTATCAGACTAAAACCCTAAATCCATCTTCCATTAATTTCATCGGATTCGGATTAAAATTCAATCCATTGACAGTCCTAGTACAGATTCGTACTCATGACCCGCAAAGTATTGCTCGACACATTCTTGTTGTAATGGGAGGTGGAACCAATCGATGTCCATGTCAAAAAAAGAGCGACTTTGACAATGTTCCACTTCATGTGACTGCAGAGAATGTATAGAGGAACATTTTGTTTTACATTATTGTATATTTATTTTTTGGAAAATGTTGGTTATGTTCAAGTGACATTCATTATCAAAGAAACTGTGTGGATTTAGTACGAAAAATGTTGGTACAAAAACTATTTTTGGTGCACTTTGTAAGTTTCTTACTTTTTGAACTCGTTCGACCTAGAGATTAAAACTGGTATCCAATTGAAAAATAGGAATTTGTGCGTTTTATAAATTTGTCGCTTTCGAAAAATAAGGAAATTGGTGCATTTTATAGGTTTCTCACTTTCGAAAAAATGAAAATTATAAGTTTAACCAATATCGGGATCGTAGTTTATAAATGGAAATTATAGAGATTATAAGTTTCTCGTTTTCGGAGAAATGAAAATTGGTGCATTTTATAAGTTTCTCCTTGAAACGCCAATGAGGAAATGATAATGAATGTCTTGAACAATACAAGTACACTTTGTGGTTGAAGGCATAATCCACACCTTGAAAGACTAGAGAAGCTCTTGTGAGACTCCCATATTGAAACAGTTAATTGATACGAGATAATGGGTTCACCTACCCCAGCAACGACCCATTCAACCCCAATATGCATCCGTCAATACTGAGTACGGCCACTAAATTTCTATCATTTTATCCTTGGACGATGAGGAGGTAAGCGTCGAGCTCCCTGGTGTCGAGTTCGACGAAATGTCAAGTGCAAAATCTAAGTTACTGAACAGCATGCTCGATTAAGTTTTCGAGGTCAGTGGTCCGATCGAATCACTGTCCAACTCGGATGAGTGGCTGGCTCACATTCCATCTCCAGAAATAATTGTCGTAAGCTCTGATGGAGAAAGTGAGAGAGAAGCTTAAAATGTCAATAGAAATGCAAGTGTGCAATAAATGACCATTTTGTAGGAAATTATGTATAGTATTTTGTGGTAGGGATGATTTTGGTCACGTCCTCTGCGTCCATGCAGTAACAGTATGTCCATAATAGGTAACCGATATATTGTATTTTTTTGAAGCCATTATTGTTCCTAACTGTTGAGAATTACAAAGACCATCTGTCAAGAACCACATATGAACTGTCGGGACATAATATTGGTGTTTTGCTTGTGAATTATCGTTTCATGAAAATCAATTTTTCATTTCGACAAACTATTAGTTGAAACTAATAGAACCATAATGATTAGCTAAGTTTATAATGAAAATAACGTATACATTCCATTTGTACTAATGAAATCGTAATGATCAGTACTTTACTTGTGAAATATAATGACCAATTTTTTGTTGGCATATGATAATAACAACAAATTAATAACATAAGTTTAGAATGTATACTGGATAGGGAGAACATTTTCGGGATTACATTTGACAACCACTTTTACCACCAATTTAAGTCTTCACCGTTGCGTATTTCAACCGGAGGTATATTCAAGTTAGGGACTTTAAACTTCAATTCAATTTGAGTACGAGGATCAAGAATATCAAGTTTGTCCTTCAACCTTAATTAAAGTTCAGCTACGGTAATGCTTGTCGACACCAGAATCGAAGTAGTATTGTCCCCTCTTCACTTCCATTCGTCATCCGCACGAACAAACTTTTCCCCATGTGACATGATGAATCTCAAATGATTACTCATACCTGAAATGTTGGGATTGTAACGGTAAGAATTCAAAATCAATAAATTGGCATTTAATAGCATGAAGGTGGCACTGCATAATACGTAAATCCGTACAATAGCAAAAGGTCAAATGAAGGGTTTCCATCGTTTTGAAGTGTCCAAATTGACAATAAAGCTGTATATCCCGATAGTTTATAAATGTCAAATTTGACAGTTTAACTATTGAAAATGTCGGGAAGCAGACAACAGTAAGTGGAACTCAAGCTTCTTCAGCATAGCACATTAGGTGTGATCATTACTATTGAGCTACCAAATGACAAAATGAAAATATCATATTGGCCTTGTCATTAAAGTGACATTTAATGAAAACAATGTTTGGTTTGAATGGAAAAAATTATTTAAAACCTTAATGGTGATAATTATATTTTGTGAAGGACTCCAAAACCAAACAAATCAATGCATAATAGTTTCAAAATTTTCAAATTAATATGTCTATGTTGTATTTAATATTTACAAAACAAAAGGCTATAAGAGTAAAATATATATAATTTGTAATTGCTAATTTCTTAAAATGGATGAATAATACAACAGAAATGTCTTCTTGATAAGTGTAAATGAAGAAGATGGAGAAAAGTTAGGGTTTGTAGTTTATGTTTCATTTTTGAATTTCTTTTATCCCCCTTTTATTAACAAAAATTAATATTAATCAATAAAATACACATTTATTCATGTTTTGTATATAGAAATTAAATAATCACACCAAATCAATGCTTTTCCTTCAAATCAAGCATTAAATGCTACTAAAAATGTGTCATTAGGAGTAATTTAGACTTTTCACCCCCAAAAGTGACACTTTTGCTAACATAAAGTGAAAATAACAAAATTTTTGAAACTTTCATTTTTTGTGACATTTTTGTAAATTTTCCTATATTTAATACCCATCACAATCAAAAGTAGATTCATGATCAATTCACATGAGATACGTGGAATTCATACATACCCACCCATGTGGGCACTCTTGCAAAATTTCAATTCAAATAAAATACTAATAAGTGACAATTTCTTTTAAACTTCAATAACTTAAGTCTAATTTATCTGAATTAATTTTTTCTTGAGTCCAAGACTTTTAATTAATTACAAGCTTCAACAAGAGCTCAATATTGATATACTAAATTTTGTTCCATAATTATCTAATTATTTAACCTAACTAAAATAGAAATTAAAATCATATTCTATTTTAATCCCCAACTTTTAAAAATATAACAAACAAATTCTTTTTTTATTCTATTTTTTTTTTGGTTTACTACAGTTATTTACTATCTTAACATCTATATCAAAACGTCGGACGTTACTCACTATCTTAACATCTGTTCCAATTCTTTAATGAAATTATTGACGTTGCTAATGGAATATACATGTGGCGTTCCATCACGCCGTTGACAAATTGTTATGTTTTCTACTACTCACCAAATTTTGAAAAATGTTTTCAATTGTTTATTAAACTTTCAAATTGTCTTTGAATATTCACTAAAATTTGAAAGTCTTTGATTGCTCACTGAACTTATAAAAATGACATCGACTTATTATTAGTTAAAAAATATGTAGTGCAATCGCACAGTCGCTTAAAAATAATAAAGTTGACAAACAAGTCAAGGTTGTCAATTTCACGATAAATAATTACTTAATTACACAATAGTTAAATTTAATTTTAACATTTTTTTTTGTAAAATTTTAAATTATTTTTATCGTTTGAAAAATTCAAATTTATTGTATGTTTCGTTGTTAAAATCATATCAATATTTAGATTTTGCAACCTAATACACAATAAATTTAATTAAATGAATTTCATTCACTTTTGATCCTTCCAAAAAAGAATCGTGTTTCGTTTCAAAAATTCAAAATTTAATTAAATTCATTTGTGTGTTTCGTTATAAAATCCATTTAATTAAGTTTATTATATTTCTTTGCAAAACTCAAATATTAATTAAAGTTTAACAATAAAACAAACAATAAATTTGAATTTTTCAAATGAAGAAAATAGTTTAAAATTCTACAAAATATATTAAAATTAAAATTAACTATTTTGTAATCAAGTGATCGTTCTCATGGAATCGATAATTTGAATTCATTTGCCCACTTTATTACTTTTACGCGCTCGTGAGATTGCGCTACATATTTTTTAATGAACAATAGGTCAACGTCATTATTATAAGTTTAGTGGCCAAAATTCAACCACCTCAAAATTAAGTGAGCAATCAAAGATTTTTTTTTTCAAAATTTAGTGAGTAATCGAAGACCTTTTTCAAAGTTTAATGAGCAATTAAAAATATTTTTCAATTTGTGGTTAGCAATCGAAAACATTACAATTTGTTAACGGTGTAATGAGACGTCACGTGTATATTTTGTAAGTCACCTCATGTTGAATAATTGCAATGGATCTTAAGATAGTGAGTAACGTTCAACATTTTAATAAATTTAGTCATCAAAGCTCGACATCTTAAATTTTAATTAGTAATCGAAAATGCCGAGATAAGTTCAATGACCATTGGACAATTAACTCCACGGTTATCAAACAACACCCGTCTCATAGCGCAAGTCTCAAACCGATTAATTTAGCCACTCGGGACATAACCAAATAGTGCAAAAGATATAAGTGAGGTTGTATCAGTCTTATTGATAATTGAGTGTAATGATTATATTTTTGATATATGAAATTGAACTTTTTATGGATACCAATATACAGATAAATTCTTACCTAGCATCCCGTCATTTACCTCACTCACTATTTGGATCACTACTTGGAGCGGTGGGACAATTGGGGTTCAACCTCAAACCGATTAATTTCAGTAGCTAGGGCTTCAATAATAACTGAGTAATAGATTTCGGATAAATTAGGCTCTGATTTCGCACTTCTGTTCTGGAACATTCATTCAAACCGGTTAGACGGGCCAATTCTCAGTGGTAGTTCAGGTTTTAGGGTACTAGTATATATTTGTGGAGTAGTTGGATTTGGAGATCTTTTGCAAATGGTTAGGATCAATGCCCACCAGGATGAGGATGAAGGAACGCCCGATAGCTCTTCAACAGGAGGTACGTGTGCGTGTGCGCTTGTCTGTGTGTATTGTCGTTATAGTTTTTGAAGTTTTGAATTGGGCAGGAAAAGAGGAGAGGAAAAGAGATGATCAGAAAGTGAATGCTTTAAGGTCAAAACATTCAGAGACGGAGCAACGTAGGAGAAGCAAGATTAATGAAAGGCAATTTTTCTTTTCTTTTTTTCGTTTGAGTTACTCTATCTTGGTGATTTTGAGTGTTGTTTAGTTGTAGGAGTTTGATGTGATTTATGTTACTAGCCCAAACGCGATGGATAGACTTCTGTTGGAAAAAAAAATGATTTGCTGAGGAAAAAAGATATCAATTTTTATTTTTGAATATGTCAATTTAAATATCGCGTTTTTTGTATATGCCAATTTAAATATTGCGATAGCATTTCTTCAAGAGTTCTAACTGAGAGGGTGGCTTCCACATCTCTAAGTGCAGAATTCTCATTTTAGACAATTGGAAATGTGTTATATTGGGTATTGGAAATTAATTTTTCTGACTTAGACTGAATTTGAGCACTACATTGTCCTTACTTTCGGCTTAGATATTCATTTGAGTTTTGTTTCAAATCGTTGAAGGATGGAGAGGAGTGAATATAAGTTTATTTGTTGCAGATTTCAAATTTTAAGAGAGTTACTACCGGAAAATGATCAGAAGAGAGATAAAGCTACACTTTTATTGGAGGTTTGTTATTCCAGTTTAGTGCCTCAAATTCTTTTATGTTATCTGACAGTTATTTGCAAAATATGTAATTGTTATACAAATTCTCTTAAGGTTTCAATTATACTTATTGCAGGTTATACGGTATACCCGCTTTTTACAGGAGAGGTTACAAATGTATGAGGGAACGTACGAAGGTTGGAGTCCAGAGCCCACAAAGTTGATGCCATGGGTAAAATTTATATGATCCTTTGTTCTTTATGTTATTCTTGGTAACTTCAGTGTCTCTCTCTCTCTCTCTCTCTCACACACACACACACACACACACACACACTCTGATACTTTAGCTAGAGCAGGAGTGATTAAGACTGCATTGATTCTCTTTTCTTGTATGTTAGATAGCTGTTTTATTATCATGGAATTTTTGAAGAGAGTGTATTATATAATACTTTGGCCTTAACTTTAGTTTCATGTTATAAGTGTAAAGCTTATGCAAGAACTAATATGAACTTGTGTATCTTTTGTCAAAGTAAGTTAGGTTTATGATGTGAAATTCACTCTGTGAAGTCACTTGCAGAACTCGTTAATCAAACATGTTTGGAAATCTTTGTAATAAGGAAATAAACACACTTTGTAATGTAGTAACTTCGTGATGAACTGAGAAAACAAAAAAGTGAGCCTCTCATTTTAGGATTGAAGTTTTCTATTTTATTTTAATGCAAAAGAAATGCAACATTTACCTCTGATCCTTTGCTACCAGAGAAGCAATTCTGGGCCAGTTGAAAGCTTGATCGACCAATCTCAACTAGTAAGGAACAGAACAGATCATGAAGACAATTATATTGTCAATCCAACGATGCTTAACCATGCACAAAACTCAGTGGAGTCTGACGTGAGTAGGGACATCTTACACAAACCAACAGAAAATCCACATGTGGCAGCAAACGACACTATTCATCTTAACATTCCTCGTCAGTCAAATTTGTTGGAGGGTGTGTCATGCCAACCTTCTCAGGTATCATTTTTAGATGCTGAGCAAATGACACCTCAGTTACAATCCCAGTTTTGGGTGGGAAAATCATGTGCAAATGAGTCATCTGTTCCTATCTACATTCCAAATGAGGTCGAAGAGCAGAAGAGTGAAAGTGGGGAGGCTAGCATCTCAAGAACCTACTCCCAAGGGTAAGCATCGGATTATAAAAAATCTGTGACTATTATGTACCACATTTGCATTCTAGTGCTGTTTAATTTTGTTTGATCAGATTTATATAATTATATTTGTTCTCTTGCTGAAGAAAACTAGTAAATCGGCTAAGAGCTGCATTTTTACTCATAGTTACTATGTGCATGAATTGAATTACTTGGAAATAATTTTGAAAAACCCATTACGTTGGTTTACATATATAAAGAGCATTTACTTAAATTTCCATAGACTGCATTTGTTAGCTTGTTCATGTTTGATGACCTTGTATTTTGGTTGGTATGATCAAACCAAATTACCTTTTTAACTTCTCCTATGCAATTTCGGCAAATGGTTGAATTGGAAATTTTCATTTATAAAGGTGATGGCATGGGTGGTTAGGATTTTGGAATATGGGGAATTTTTTTATCTTCAAACACATAATTTACATCTATGCCTATTTAGAGCCTGGTTTCACCTGGTCAAGTGATTTGAAGGTTGACTTTCCCTCCTATGGTAGATTACATGTTTGCTTAGATTTAAATTGCAGATGCGGGTTTAGTAGGTCCTCCTAATTTTAAAGTAATTGCAGACTTTCTGTGCAACCTATTTGGGTTAGTAGGTCCTCTTGATTTAAGTTATGGCAGGGTGTTGTTAACTGATCAGTCAACTTCTGTTGGTGCCAGTTCTGAAGTTCTTTGTGCTCATGAATCACTGGACAAGCTTTTCATAATTATTTGAATGTTATTTTGTTTTAATATTGTGGATTTTGGTGCTTAAACAGCTTGTTGGATACCCTTACCAATGCCCTGCAATCATCTGGTGTAGATTTGTCCCAAGCCAGTATTTCTGTGCAACTTGATGTTTGCAAACGTGCAAATAGTAGTAGTACTGCTACAATGTTCAGTTTGAAGGTTCGTTTAGCTTTCTTTATTTGTATTATTTAGATATAGTTGGTTTGTGGGTTTTGTTGGGAGACAAGAAAAAATAAAATGAGAGGAAAATAACTTATTTGTTGCTTACACAAATTTGGAAGCCCAACATTCACCTAAATTGTAGGAATTATGGAAATTAGAAAATATACTATAATTATTTTTATACCAAAAATATTGGATAGTTAATATAATATTAGAAGGCTCATAATGGATTCCTTGTTTCTAGTTCCCATTTAGAACCTCATCTCCTTCTCTTTCTTTTCCGTAATCATGCAAAGAGAGAAGACTTCCTTTTGGATTTTCTTTCTTTTAATTAGAATTCCATTTTTATTCTAGCCTCGGTCTTGCATGAGTGTGTTCTATTCCTTTATTTCACTGTATACAATATTTGTTTGTATTTATGGTTTTATCCTGTTACCTTTGTACTATCGGTTAGATACATTTGAGGCCTTTGTATGCAATTTATCATAATCTCATATTTTTAGTGTGTTTTGAAGAAAAATATTAGTTGCTTATAGTTTTCTATTTTGCCGATCATTCAGGATCACGAGAACCCATCTGGTGTTAGTTCTGCAAATTTTGGGGATACTGGTGAGAATTATGTCCATCCTCGTAAAAGGCTAAGGGCAGAGACGAGCTAGTGTGTCATATGTATTTGGAAGTTTTGTTCTCATTTGTTCCATATTTCCTTCGTTCCCCTGATCTTTGGGGGTGGGGACAAAATACGAGGAGAAACGTTTTACATTAGAGAGTCCTGAGTCCACAAACAGCTCTGTCTGGACTAAGTGCACAGGCCTTGCTTTTTTGATCGGTTGAGGTGCCAGAATTTTTCTAGAATCAGCTTAAATATGTTTTCTTTCTGTACTAGCTGGATAAAGGCTTCCATTTGATTATGAGAAGCTGCCTTTGATCTTGTTCTCAATATGGAAGTTCAATTGTCGCCGTTTGGTTTTTGCATTTTTCATATGAACGCGATGCAAGTACTTTTGTGTTTGTCATTGTGATATTTCTGTATTCGCTAACAACAGTTATGCATCCCAGTTTTTCATACGGGAGGAAGGAATGTAGGTTCACATTTTCGAGCAATTTCTCCCAGCCAATTTCCTTCATAAAGCTGGAAAAACTTAGACAAGACTGTTGTAAGGTTTAATGGTCTGGTCGAGCAAAGCATGCATCCATTGTTTCCTTCTCTCAAGAACTTCGAGGTTTATTTTGTGAATGTCTACTGTTGCTTTCTTTTTATTCTTAGTTGTCTATGAGTATTGCTTTTGTCGGGAAAGTAATCCACTGGCGAATGGTTTTAAGCACTGTTCCTCTACTTAGGGCTGGGCATCCCAACTGCTCAATCCGATTGGTTTTGATTGGTTTTTCAAGTTCAATTGGGTTGGATTGAAAAATTGAATTTGAGGTTGGGTTGTGTCTCGGGTTATGAATTAAAATCCAACCCAATCCGATCTGATGAATTTAAAAATTAATATCTAAAGATGGGGGACATGATAAAATAAATGAATTCCAAATTGTTTAAAAAAAAAAAATTCATAAATTTTAAACTTATTTATACATTATTTTTAGAAATAATTATTTATATATATGTTTAAAAAATGGAGGTTTCTAGGTAATTTTCAACTTTAAAAAATTATCCAAATTTAATAAATAAATCGGATTCAACTTTAATTGGGCCGAAGTCCAAATCGATTAATCCAACCCAAATTGATCAAGTTTGGATCAGGTTGGGTTGAGTTGAGTTTAAATCATTAATTAGGTTGGGTTGAGTTTGGATTGGAAAGAAAATCAACCTAACCAAACTCACGTCCACCCCTACCTCTACTTGATTTGGGTGATCTGTTATTTCATCAAGGATGCTGAGGTAGCTTCATGGAAGAAATGCCGTGTTTATAAATAATTTAAAGCATTGTTTTTTAGTGTTTTCTGTTATGCTCCTATCTGAACCAATTCGGAAAGTTCACCATCACATCATGCGAGGTGTGAAACACTCATCCGAAGTGACTTTACTAATGGTGACGATCTGCTATCACGCTATGAGGCATAGGCAATTCTGAGGGACTGATCGAAGCGCCCTCGTCCCTGAATCCGAGGCGAAATGCACTCCGGGGACCTCTGTCAGATGATCTGTCGCCAATTTCAGAATGAAATCTTTGTCAGAATCCTTTCTGCACCTAAGGTTTAAAGTGATTTGACGTCTCCATGAGACTAGTTGATGTGACGTATCAACTTTATGTCAACTCAACTCGGGAGAAGTAATTACCCACCCACTCTATAAACGCGGCTGATTGACACCTATGAGCAGACGCCTCATACTGCCAGATGTATACACATGTCCCACATCCAACGATTCTCCTCACCTATAAATACCCAAGACTTGGCAAGAGGCAAATGTAATGAAACTCTTTCTACTTAGCACTCCATAGCAAGAAAACATATATTCTCCTCCCCACTGTTTTGTACAATCCTGGTACTGTTCTGATCACCTAGGCCTAACTTGACCGTCGGAGTGTATACGACCGCCGCCGCCCCCACTGGTTCCGGCCGTCTGCATCTGACCACGCGTTGATTGTGCTCAGGGAAGAATACATGGAGTGGCTATCGGTTGGCCACTTGGAAGGTCCAATTTTCGAGATCAAAGATTGGTGCTGTCTGTGGGAAAGCTTCCCGTTCAAAGTTCTGCATTCTCCACCAGAGAAATCACCGGAAAACTAGCGACTTACCCTGAAAAGGGCACGTTCTTGAAAAAGAACAAAGTCGAGTTATAATCCAAATTCTCATCACCCTTGAAAAAAGAAATAGAACGAGTTCCAGCCATGAAGACGACAACCCCATGAGAGAGGCCTCTGAAGAAGAGGTGCTCCATAGCAATGTCACTCACTAGAGACCTTATCACCGACATCGCCGAGGTGAAAGAACAACCATGCTCACTAAAGGAATGGCTCAAATAGCTGCGGGAATGAGAGACATCGCAGCTCAGAATAAGGCGATGCATGAACTTCTCATGCAAGCCCGAGGTCACCAGGGCTCTCAAATGCCTCAAGGATCTTTTCTAGTGTAGGAAGCCCCTGTATCTTGTTCCCGAAATCATATGAGCCAGCACAAAGAACGCCCCTTCGAAAGAGAAGTCGACGCGGAAACCACATCCTATGTGCAAGGGAGCCAGCCAGCAAAACCACAGCTAGGGGACAATTTCCCTCAAAAATATGAGGAACAAAGGTCAGTAAGCGTCTTCGACTGAATAGGACAGGACTCTAGCAATAGGATTCGCTTAGTACGAAGGTCAGTTCGGAAAAGCCAAGAGCAAGAACAGGCGCCTCCTCCTCCTAGAAATAGGAGGGATAGAAAGAACCTAGTCGATTGGGGGAGTCGAGGAGAAGCACCTCCACCTCCCTAGGATATTCAAGATGATGAAACATCAGATGGGCCTTGTCGATCTTATGAAACCGACGACGACGATAATAACCTACCTTTCTCAAGGGAAATCCGAAGCTTCCCAATACCGGAGAATTTCATGCCCCCAGATCCCTAAGTATGAAGGAAAGGGGGACCCAGAGAAGCACCTCACCAAGTACATGACACAGATGAGCCTCAGGGGAGCCTTGCCTGCTTTGAAATGCAGAGCTTTCCCCTTAACCCTGGGCGGAGTTGCTGAAGTGTGGTATAACAGACTTCATCCCCTGAGCATTAGGAGTTGGTCAGATTTGAAGAAGGCATTCTTGAACCAATACCTCTCACGCAGAGAAGGGGAGGCCCTAGTGCAACGCCTGCAAGATATGAGGCAAGCCCCTCGAGAGACATTGAAAAGCTATCTCGCCAGATTTACAGACGAAATCACATACTGCGAACAAGTCACTGACAGAGAAGCCCTTTCAGCTCTGAAAGGCGGCCTCAACATGAACACTTTGTTTTGGAGGGACGTGCACAGCAAGAATCCTGCCACCTATGACGAACTGGTGGAAATGATAAAAGTGGAAATCGTCAGTGAGGAATGTGTGATCACCGAAATCGTGCCGCGCAGGGACTCCCTCCGCCTCAGAGGCAGGTAGGTCGAGGACCTGCAGTGCACCTCGTCACTCAGTAATGGACTCAAGCAGGTCATACAATAGCACCCACCTCCAGACAGGCACTGGCTTCTGCCACATTGAATGCAGTGTCGGTGTTGGCATACAAGAATGCTCCTGGTGAAGCAGGACCATCCAGAAGAGCTAATAGTAAGAAGAAGAAGAAGAAGAAGAAGAAGCGATCAAACAGGCCCTTGGAAGGGGCAATGTTTTACACTTTCCACCAACTCTATGAGCATGACACTAGTGAGTGCCGAGATGCTAATCGATGCCCTGATCGAAGCAACCCACATCTTTCCAGCAGGAGCGAATATCCTGGCAGATCCGCCTCTCCGAACAGGGGGGGAGAGAGGGCATAGAAAGTAATCACCCTGGAGAAGAGAATCAAGGGACCGAGGACAGTCTAGACAAAGAGATCAGGCCCCATTCTCTGGGAGCCAAGTCATCAGGGAGATCGACACAATCATTAGGGGACCCCACATTGGTGGCAACACCAGGAACGCCCAAAGGAATTACATAAGGGAACCAACGGACCCGCCAATGATTACCTACATTGTCAACGAGTCACAAGCGGCCAACAAAATGGCCCCAATTACCTTCTCCCAGGAAGATGCAGAAAGAGTTTACCACCCCCATTGTGCATTGGTTGTGAGAGCCGTAGTGGCTAGAAACGGACTCAAACGCATGCTCGTCGACAATGGCAGTTCGGTGAACATACTATTCGGCTCCACCTTCGACAAAATGCAAATTGAACATGGGTTGATCCCCATGACTGACCCACTATTCAGATTCACTGGAGACAGCATCGTCCCACGAGGGCAAATCACTCTGCCCGTCGAGATGGGTGCAACACCCCTAGTGGCCCAACACTTCATGGAGTTCTTAGTGGTAGACCACAGATCGGCCTATCATAGAGTATTGGACATACCCGCTTTGAAGGATCTTTGGGCTGTCACATCCATCCACTACTTGTGTATGAAATTCCCAACTGAATATGGGATTGCTACGGTCCGAGGCGACCAGATGGGCTCCAGGGCATGTTACTTGAATTCTTTACGAAAGTCGGAGCCCTGAACTGTTAATGTGATCATAACTGAAGTTGCCAATGAAGTCAGTATGGACGTGAAAATGCTCGACGCCTCTGAACAAAGGCATATCTCCGAACAGGAGGAAGACGTCGACATGGAAGAGGCCCCTGAACAAGGACACCCTCTTGATGAGTTAGATCCCCGAATAATTGACTCTGAACCAAATGCAACCCCTATGGAAGAGCTCGAAACTTTCTTCGCCAACCCAGAGGACCCTAGTCAGGTCTTGCGAATATGGAAGACACTGTCCCCTGAAGCAAAAGAGGAGATGATAAACTTCCTGAAAAGGAACTTGGATGTCTTCGCTTGGAAGTATGAGGACATGGTGGGAATAGATCCAAGGATTAGTTGCCACCATCTTAACATCAACTCCTCCTGTGCCTCTCATCGACAAAAAAGACGTGCCCTCAACCCAGAAAGGTATGAGGCTCTCAAAGACGAAGTAGACAAGCTTAGCCGCAGTGGTTTCATAAGGGAAACCATCTACCCGAACTGGATATCCAACCCGAACCTGGTGAAAAAACCCAGTGAGAAGTGGAAGGTGTGCGTAGATTTCACCAACTTGAATAAGGCGTGCCCTAAAGACAGCTTCCCACTTCCAAGAATAGACCAATTTGTGGATTCCACCGCTGGACATGAACTACTTAGCTTCATAGATGCATACTTAGGGTACAATTAGATACCCATGTTCCGGCCTGATGAGGAAGCTACCTCATTCATTACAGACAGAGGACTCTACTTCGACAAAGTCATGCCCTTCGGGTTGAAAAATGTTGGAGCCACGTATTAGAGACTAGTCAACATGATGTTTACCGAACTCATTGGCAAAACCATGGAGGTCTATGTGGATGACATGCTAGTCAAAAGCCTCTAAGCAAGCGAACACATAAGTCACCTTAACCAAACCTTTCAGATACTTAGAAAATATAAGATGAAGTTGAATCCCCTCAAGTGCACCTTTAGGGTGGCTTCGGGTCAGTTCTTGGGGTATATTGTTAACTAAAGAGGAATTGAAGCCAACCCAGTAAAGATAACGACCTTGCTGGAAATGAGGTCACCTTAGAAATCGAAGGAGGTCCAAAGCCTC